ATAAAACTCATATGTTTAGCAGTACTAATCTTGAGTCCCTGGATTCTAGTTATCTTATACAAAGTCTCTGAAAAGAATTTTATCTAAAAAAAAAAATGAAGCCACAACCACAGGTCCTGAGGTCACTGTTTGTGTGGATTATTTTAAAAGCACTATCAAATATCAAGAAGCTTTTATATTCTAGGCTTTCTTCTTAATATTTTTAGAGCAAAATTATTAATAATTTGTCATAGAAATTGTACCTAGTAGGTCTCAGGGGACTCTTAGGGTCTCAGTTGCTATCTCTCTCTCTCTCTCTCTCTCTCTCTCTCTCTCTCTCTCTCTGTGTGTGTGTGTGTGTGTGTGTATGCCTTTCTCTCATTATCTATCTATCCACCCATCTGTATCTATCTGTCTGTGCCTCTCTCTGCAACAATCTCATGCCAATTTGACTACCCTATAAATTTCTTTAAAGTCGATTTTGTCTTCCCACTGGCCATCAATGCCTGGGCCAGGTGGGTGAGCTGGCCCTCTGGTCATAAGAATGGCAAAGACGTCCCTGACCTCATGCAAGGCAGCATAACAGAGCCAACCCTGTTAGCTCAGGTGTGGGTGAGCTAGCCTACAAATTGTGAGCATGGGAGAGCTCTCCCATATTTCATCTGTCTTGTGACAGCATGAGCAGGGGAATGATCCCCCCCACATCATATCAATGCCCGAAGCAGGTCACAGTGCTGGCCCTGTGATCATAAAAGTGGGAGAGCCAATGCTGTTAGTGCAGGTGTAGGTGAGCAAACCCTGAAGTTGTAAGCATGGGAGAGTTGTCCCCATTTCCCATTTGGTGGACCAACCCAAATCCAGGGTTATAACTTGGCCAGCCACAACATCTACCCCATCTATAATCTGTATGTGAAGGGGTCAGGCTTGAAGATCCAAAGCTGCAGGATCTCCACAACATAGGACAACAGGGATCCAGGAAGATTCTCCCTCCTGCCTCAGCCACAATACAGGTCAATGGTCAAGCCACCTGCAGGTAGCCTGCTCCAGCATCCCCCCATTGGAACCTGTAATCTACAAGCCCCATTATGCCCCCAGAGACCTCAGTAGCTCCCCTAGGCACAGGCAGCAACTGTAAAGAGCTGCCCAAGAGTGCCTAACTGACACACAGACAGCAATAGCAACAAGAAAGGATCCCTAATACATGGACACCTACTGCAAGGATTGAACCAAGAGCCTGCAACAATTGGAGGAAGAGATTGGTAGGCACCAATGAAAGAATCCATTCAACAACCTAAAGAACAATACTGCAATACCAGAATGTAGTGTTCCCACAACAGGAAGACCTGAGCAACCTAACTCAGAAGAAGCAGAAGAAAAGGACCTTAAACATAACTTTATGAATATGATAGAGACTGTAAAGAGGAAATAAAAAAATCCTTTAAAGAAATAGAGGAAAAGACAAACAAAAAAACTAGAAGAAATCAATAAATCTCTTAAAGTAAGCCAAGAAAACCAAGAAAAAACAAACAGGTGAAGCAAACATTCCAAACAGTTCAAGACTTGAAAATTGAAATAGAGGTAATAAAGAAAACAGAAACTAGAAACTAAGGGAATTCTGGAAATATAAAATCTGGATAAATGACCAGGAACTACAGGTGCAAACATAATGAACAGAATACAAGAGATTGAAGAGAGAACCTCGGGAGTTGAACATATGATAGAGTAAACAGATTCATAAATCAAAGAAAATGTTAAGTCCAACAAAACATTCAAGAAATGTGGGATAACATGAAAAGACCAAACCTAAGAATAATGGTGATAGAGGAAGAAGATACCAAAAAATTGGAGTAAGCTCCTGTATCTTATTGGATCACCATGGCTTGAAATTAGAATTCAACAACAACATTAACTACCCAAAGTCTACAAACTCATGGAAATTGAACAATGTTCAATTGAATCACTCCTGGGTCAAGGAATATATAAAAAAGAAATTAAATACTTCCTAGAATTCGATGAAAATGGAAGCACAACATACCCAAACTTGTGGGACACTATGAAAGCAGTGCTAAGAGGAAAGTTCACAGGACTAACTGTCTGCATAAAGAAACTGGAGAAATCTCACACTAGGGACTTAAGAGCACACCTGAAAGCTAGAGAACAAAAACAGACTCACCCAGTAGGAGTAGATGCCAGGAAACAAATTGAGGACTGAATTCAACAAATTCGAAACAAAGAATCAATGAAACAAAAAGCTTGTGCTTCGAGAGAATCAACAAAATAGTCAAACCCACATCCAAACTAACAAAAAGGCAGAGAGAGAATATCCAGATTAACAAAATCAGAAATGAAAAGGGGGACATAACAACAGACACTGAGGAAATCCAGAGAATCTTTAGGTCATACTTTGAAAACCTATATCCACAATATTGGAAAATCTAAAAGAAATGAATAATTTTCTGGAAAGGTACCACATACCAAAATTAAATCAAGACCAGATAAATAATTTAAATAGATTATAATCTCTAAGGAAATAGAAGCAGCCATTACAAGTCTTCCAAACAAAAAAAAAAACCCAAGGACAGATAATTTTAGCAAAGAATTGGACCACAACTTCAAAGAAGAGCTAATACCTACATTCCTCAACTTGTTCCACAAAATAGAAAGAGAAGGAACATTGCCTAACAACGCTACAGTTCCCTGATACCCAAACCATACAAAGTCTCATCTAAAAAAGAAAATTACAGATCAATCTCCCTCATGATCATTGATGCAAAAATACTCAATATAATACTGGCTAACCAAATTCAAGAACTCATTAAAAATTCACCCATCATGATTAAGTAGGTTTCATCCCAGAGATGCAGGAATGGTTCAACAAAGGAAAATCTGTCAATGTAATCCACCATATAAATAAACATAAAGAAAAAAAAATACGATCATCTCATTAGATGTTGAAAATGCCTTTGACAAAAATCCAGCACACTTAATGATAAAGGTCTTGGAGAGATCAGGGATACAAGGAACATATCTAAACACAATAAAAGCAATATATAGCAAGCTGACAGACAAAAACAAATCAATAGAGAAAAACTCAAAGCAATTCTATTAAAATCAGGAACAAGACAAGGCTTTCCCCTCTAAGAAATCAGAGAAACATCACCTTTTACTATAGCCACAGATAACATAAAATATTTTGGAGTAATTATCTTGGAGTAATGCTAAGCAAAGAAGTAAAAGACCTTATGACAAGAACATTAAGGCTTTGAAGAAAGAAACTGAATATATCAGAAAATGGAAAGATCTCCTATGCTCTTGGATAGCGAGGATAAACATATCAAAAATGTCAATCATCCCAAAAGCAATCTACAGATTCAGTGCAATCCCCATCAAAATCCCAACACAATTCTTCACAGACCTCAAAAGAACAATACACAACTTCATGTGGAAAAACAAAAAACCCAGGATAGCTAAAACAACCCTGTGCAAGAAAGGAATTTCTGAAGGCATCACCATCCCAGACTTCAAAACTCTATTATAGAGCTACAATAATGAAAACAGCTTGGTATTAGCATAAAAACGGAGCAATGGAATCAAATCGAAGACCCTGATATTAACCCACATATCTATGAACACCCAATATTTGACAACAAAGTCAAAAGCCTACAATGCTAAAAAGAAATCATCTTCAACAAATGTTGGCATAACTGGATGTCAACATGCAGAGGGTGGAGGAGAACATGGGGGAAAGGGATAATAGAGATGCTGAAGGACAGACAGGGAGAGCAAGGAAAGAGATATCTTGATTGAGGGAGTCATTATGGGGCTAGTGACAAACCTGGAAATTCCCAGGAATCCACAAGAATGACTCCAGCTAAGACCCTAAGCATCAGTGGAGAGGGTGCCTGAACTGGACTTCCCCTGGAATCAGATTGATGACTATCTGAATTGGCATCATAGAACCTTCATCAGCAACTGATGGAAGTAGATGCAGAGAACCACAACCAAGCACTGGGCAAAGTTCCCAGAGAACAGCTGAAATGTGGGAAAAGTGATAATATGAGGAAAGGGGTCAAGACAATTTTGGGGATACCCACAGAAACATTTGACCCAAGTTAGTAGGAGTTCACTGACTCCAGCAGGGTGGAGTTTGCGGGGGACGACCTACATAGGCCCAAACCAAGCCCTCTGAATATGGGTGACAGTTGTGTAACTTGGGGAGCCTGTGGGGTCACTAGCAGTGGGACCAGTACTTATCCCTACTGCTTGAACTGACTGTTTGGAGCCCATTCTCTTTGAAGGGACACCTAGCTCAGCCTAGATATAGGGGGGAGGTCGTTGGTCCTGCATCAAAGAGATGGATCAGAAGCTTTACCCTCACTGAGGAGTGAATGGGGATGGTGGTGAGAGCAGGGGGAGGGAAGGGAGTAGGAACTGGGATTGGTTTGTAAAACGAAAAAAGGTTTTTTAATAAAAAATGATAAAAAGAATATCCTACTTGATATGTAACACATTTGAAATGGTTACACGCAGATAATGATGCTTTTTGAGTTTTATCATTCAAATGACCCGTATATAATATAGGTAGTAAAGAATAAATAATTTTCTAAAATCTATCATATACTATGAGAGATTCTGAACAGAAGATTAAAAAGAAAAATTAGTTCCATTCTCGAATGTCTGTATACATAAGTATACAAAAGAATGCAGATGTGAAGTATGGAGTATTACAGGGGAATGTCACAGCCATGATGGTAGAGTTGATGAATGGAAATCCCATGCACATAAAAGCAGGGCTTTGCCTTTGTATACAGCTATATAGTGTCTAATGGAAACAATTTTCTAAACTTCAAAAGATTATCAAAAAATACAGAGAGTAGAACTCATAGAAGCTTATTATTACTTAAACATACAGGGTTAAAGGTCCAAGAATGAGAATTAAGTGTTGTAGAATATTATTTTAATTATGTAAAGATGTGTCATATTTATTTCTTTATGTTGTGGAATATTACTATATGTAAAGGTATGTTAAATTTCTTTATGCTGCATTTGTTAAACAATGTAAGGATGTGTGACATTTGTTTATGCTGAATGTTTTAGCATTTGTACCTAATATAAGTCTCTGTATATTACTTGGGACCTTGGCAGGCACTCACTTGGCAGCAGGACATGGGCAGCTTGGCAGAAAGACTTATTGTTACAGAATGGTGTCAGTGAGTGGGATGACCCCACACTCCTAGGTTCCCAGGGGAAGCAGGGAACCTGCTGCCACAAGCCACCTGGCACTTGGAGCCACCTTCCCACGACTAGGCAACCAGCTGCAGAACCTGGGCAGCTGGCGGTAGTGTTAGGAACTTCCATGTAAACTTCACAAAAGCTTAAAAAAGGATTTTAACAGCAAAAGAACAGACACAAGCACGACTTCGTGTTAGCAGCATTTTCTCAGGTGGTCTCTGTTTTTCTAGACACAAGCAGAGACTCAGTTCCTTTAAGAGAGGTTTCTTGAATCAGCCTAAGTGGAAAAAGACTATGTAAAGATGTGTTATATTTATTTGTTTATGCTGAATGTTTAATTGTAAAGGTGCTTTGCTTTTGTTTGTTTCATTTGTTTAATTATATTATGATACATTTCTGTTTTACCTTACCCGCCTAAGGCACCTGATTGATCTAATAAAAAGCTAAACAGCCAATAGTTAGGCAGTAGAGGGATAGGTAGGCTGGTAGCAGAGAGAATAAGTAGGAGGAGGAATCTAGGCTCAGGAATAAACAAGAAGAGAGAAAGAAAGGGAGAAGCCTAGGGCCAGCCAGCCAGGCAGCTGCCTGACACCTGGACACAGAAGAAAGAGGAAAAGTAGGACATAGAGAAAGAAAGAAAGGTAAATAGCCCTGAGGCAAAAGAAGAAAAGATGAAGAGAAACAGGTTAAATCATGTTATAAGAGCTAGTGGCACAAGTGTAAGATAAGGCTGAACATTCATAACTAATAATAAGTCTCCAGGTCATGATTTTGGGGGCTTGAGGTCAGAAAAAGCCTGATACATTTGGCATTACAATGTGGGGGGCGATTTTTGACATAAAGCTTGATAAAGCTGAGAAAAAAAGAGAAAGGGATCTGTTCCTTTAAGAGGCTCTGCAATATAGCAAGCACTTGAACAGGTGGTACATTAAGTTCAAACAAAAAGCTAGGCCCCTTTCTTCTTTCATGGTGTTTGTTTCTGTTTGTTTATTTTGCCCACTGGATTTAATTAGAGTTGGTTACAGGAGCACATATACCTCCTCCACCAATCACTAACAGCCTACAGATCCACAGAGAGGGGTTTGAATTCATTAGCCCTGAATCTTTAGCAACCATGGAGATAGCCTTGAATTTTCAACCTTATTGCCTCAGCATCCTATTCCTGGGATTATAAGTATATACCACTCACTTAACCTTTAGAAGTATTTCTTTGTGTGTATTTTGGGGGTGGCGGGGGGCTGTGAATCTGTGTACAGATGCCTGCGGCGGGCAGAAAACAACATTGGAATTATTGGAGCCATAGATATAGGAAGTTTGGGTCACAAATATAGGTGCAGAAACAGAACTTGGGTCCCCTGGAAGAACAGCACATGCTCTTAATTACTAAGCTATGTCTCTAGCACCATTATAGGAAGTTAGTATGTATGGAAATTAAAGAGGAAATCTCAATTTATAAATAGCACTTTGAGCAGAATATGAAGCATGATTTCTGAATGGGAGGGGTATTGCAAGAGGCAGAGAATAGATTACAATCTTGCCTTGACGTCATGAAAACAGGATCATGAGTGTATACAGTAGCAGCTGAGAAAGAAGTAAAAGGATTTGAAGGACATTTGGTGGTAAAATAATATAAATGGACAGCCTGAATGGGCAGTGTGAGAGAGAAAATGTAATTAAAGGTGGTCCTCAGGTTTCTGGATTGTACATCAGAAGGAACTTAGATACATCTACCTACATGGGGTATCTAGAAGAATGTGAATCTTTCAGAGGGTGAATTTTATTTTAGTTCTGTAATATATGTTGTGCCTTAGAAAATCCAAAGAAAATTACAATCAAGATACTTGGATACTCTATTTCAGAATCTCTACAGTTTGAAGATGTAACATGTGAATTATTAGAAAATGGACCTGATTTACACACAGAATTAAAAAGTATAGACAGAGAGGAGTGATTTAATTAAATAAGTTTGAGGGATCATTTAGAGTGAATAAAGCAGACCCAGAGGAGTATGTGGTATGTGGAAACCTAAGAAAGTTTGTAGACAGAGAGAAATGGTGCAGAGTCAACAGTCTTCGCTGTGTTCATTGGTAAAATATTGCTTCCTGCTTATTTCTGAATTTTTTTTCTTAGCAGGAGGAAAAGTACTTATCATTCATTGTTCTCCATGAATTTTCCACCTATCAGTGGAAAACTAAGCATTTTGTTTGACTGGTAAGTTCAGAAAGAACATGTTTTCTTTGGAATTTTCCTGAGAAAATATAATCTTTTTTCCTTCCTGACATCTTCCTGGAAATTTACCTACAGCAGATAAATGGGTGGCAGAAATTTACTGGAAAGTGTACCAAAGTTTCTATGGTAAATTATAGACCCTGGGTAGTGGAAAGTAAGGAAAAACTTAATCCAGAAGAGAATACTGGCTTTTGGTCATGTGACTAGAATAAAAGAAGAAATTATACAACCTGATACATGATTAATATTTGGAACATCAGTGTGATGGTCTGTTTGTCACAGCTCTTTGATTTTTCTTTGTTTTTTCTAAGAAGTAACAAAGGTTCTACTCTCTGAATAGATAGTAAAGGACCCAGTGAATTTTACAAGTTTGACTATCATTTAAAAATGCAAGTAGATAACATAACTGATTAAAATAGGAGGAAAAAGGCTAACTTAGAACCAAAATTTATGGACTTGACACTGCACAGCAAGACTTCTTCCCTCCTGTCAAACTACTATGTATTTTCAATATTGCTCTCTACGCAAACAATCCTATTTAACATTATCATTTGGCAAGGCTGAAACAAGTACCCTCATAATTTGTATAAAGTCATTACAAACATCCATGTGCAATATTTCATCTTACTTGTGTGAAGATAAATCTTCTATTTATGCATCTTCAGATACACTGTTAAGTTGATGCAATAAAAGATATTGTTAAATTCCATTGTCAATAAAAAGCATAAATCTGAGCAACAAAAAATTTTTAATGAACATGTGTTGAATTACTTTTTTCAGCTGCTGGATATCACAGTAGTACTTTGTACAAGATAGGCAACTGTCTGAGCATTATACAACATGGCTTGTTTTTAATTTTTAATTCAGTATATTTATAGATGTTAGATTTAGTTAACAAGAACCTGAACCTGGGAGAGAATGGAATAAGTCATAAACAACTTACCATCCTTTAAAATAACTTTTTGCTTGTCCAGATGAACTGCCAAATATAGATAAATAGTAAGAAGGCAATTTTCTGCTGTTGCTGTAACTGGGAGTGAAAACCTAAAATGAAAATATTTTTATCAATAAAATAATAACTTCACATGTAGTAAAGGCAATAAAATAGATCTAATTATTCAAACACCTTTAATCCTGAAAATACAAATTATTTATCATTTATTCTTTCCTTTCCTTTTGTTTTTTTGTAACCACTGAGAATATCTTAAAAGTTTGTAATTTAAATTTTCAAAAGTTAACAAGTGTCACTATTAAATACACTACAGAAAAGAGATGGTTCACTGCACAGGTTAAAAACACAGCTTCAGTGCTCGCTTCAGCAGCACATATATTAAAATTGGAACAATACAGAGAAGATTAGCATGGCCCCTGCGCAAGGATGACACGCAAATTCGTGAATCGTTCCATATTTTTACAGAACGTCAAATAGACTGGACCACAAAAGAAAGTCCCCACATAATAATTAAAACACCAAACGTACAGAATAAAGAAAAAATATTAAGAGCAGCAAGAGAAAAAGGCCAAGTAACATATAAAGGCAAACCTATCAGAATTACACCAGACTTCTCCATGGAAACTCGGAAAGCTAGAAGGACCAGAATAGATATTCTACCAACTCTGAGAGAATATGGATGCCAGCCCAGACTACTATACCCAGCAAAGCTTTCAATCACTATAAATGAAGAAAACAAGATATTCCACAAAAAAAAAAAAAAAGATTTAACCAATACGAAACCACAAACCAAGACCTACAGAAATACTTCATATAAAAAGGCACAGACTAAAAGAATGGATATGAAGAGAGAATCCATCTTTCTGTTGCATATAAGAAACACACCTCAACATCAAACACAGATGGTACATCAGAGTTAACTGCTGGGAAAAGATTTTTCAAGCAAATGGAGCCAAGAAACAAGCAATACTAATATCTAACAAATTAGACCTTAAACTAAAATCAATCAAAAGAGATGAAGAACATCATTTTATATTCATCACAGGAGAAATCCATCAAGATTGAGTTCTAATTCTGAACAACTATGCCCCCCCCAAGACATTCACATTCTCTAAAATCACACTTAAAACCTCACACACTTACAGTGGGAGAAATCAATGCCAAACTCTCACCACTGGGCAGGACCACAAGACAGAAACTTAACAAAGAGACAAAGGAACTAACAGAAATTATGACCCAAATGGTTTTAATAAATATCTATAGAACATTCCATCCAAACACAAAAGAATATACCTTCTTTTCAGCACCACATGGAACCTTCTCTAAAATCAACCACATACTCAGCAATA